TTTAGAGTTGAGGGGTTTAGGGGTTTCGGGTTTAGGGGTTTAGGGCTTTAGGGGCTTAGAGTTGAGGGGCTTAGTCTTACTTGAAGGGCGTTACTTTGGGCTTTAAGGCTTTAGGATGTTTAAGGCTTTGAGACGTTCGGGTTGTAGGGTGTTTAGGGTTTATAGGGGCTTGCAGGACTTAGGGCTCGAGCTTGAAAAAAAGTACTCTCTGGGTTTGGCGCTTTTTTCTGCCTCCCACCTAGCCGAGAGGAGCCCGCAGTTGCAGAGTAAAGTCGGAGAGCACGCTGGAAAAGATACAGTTGCCAATCAGTGCAGGATGAACGAATGCACAGACATCACAGCTATCGAAGTTGCAAATGCTACTATGGTGTTCGTTTTGGGGCTCTTGGGTACGACACGATCCGAAATGATATCGCTCGGTTCGTGTCTAGGGTTGACCCAGAGGACTTGCCAGATGAGGATCATTGTGAGCAGCCTATATACGAGAACCGAAACACTACCCTCAAACCTCAACCCTTCCCTCTAACCCGTTAACCGTAACCGTAGATGGAAACGTGAAACCTCTCTGTGCCGACGCCTTCAGCTTCCAAAGCAGCCGTGAGCTGCGCTTGCAGCTCATCTTCCATAAGCTCCGCGTGGATTCTCCACCGTAAGCTTTTTGGGTTCGCTAACATGGTTGGGGTTGGGGGCATCGAGTCTTTGAGGCACAGGGTCTCATGGAAAAGTTACGGGGGTTGCCGGGCACTTGAGGCGGATTCCTAAGGCGTCTACGGGGTTCCTGTCGATCGCACAGCTAACCAAGTCGCGCTGCAGGTCGTTAAAGGCTTAGGCTCCAGGGTGAGAGTTTAGGAGGTTTTGTGTTCCTGGGGATAGTCAGGGGCTTAGGGTTGGTATCTAAGCCACTCTGCACTTTACACAGTGGCCAAGTGAGAGGTTGTGATTAAGAGATCCTAGGTATGCTATGGAGCATTGAAACTCATACTGCTATGGACTACACTTGGACTTTGAGCGACATACCCGGCCTTAGGCCTCTCGCGCATGCGCATAAACAAACCTGAGCACTGCAGCTGGCAAGTTCCTGCTGCACCGGTGAGGCTGAGAGATAAGGCTGGCCCATAAGTCAGGATGGGTGGTGGAGGCCTTAATATGAACAGCAATAACATGTGACAGTCTAGAACCATCCAATAAAGCTGAATATTAAGCAGAATATTATAGAAAGGAATAAAACTAAATACACTCCTGTGCACTCTGTTTGGGAGGATGGGATTCTTCATGAAGGGGGCCCGTAAGCCCGTTTGGTTCACAGATGTTGCTGATGAGGCTAGGCTCTAGATTGCTTGCCCGAGTCAACATCATCTGTGGCGCTGCACGGTGCCCTGGGCATCCAAGACTGAGTGAGGGCTTGCGGATGTAGTCTTGCAGGCAGGGTATTTTTGCATGTCAGATACTGCCCTGCATCAACTTTTTACTTTCAACTTACGAGGCCCGCGTCCATGTTGCAAAGTGCCTCGTCGCCGGTGATGGGATTGATGATCGTGCCATGCTCCATCTGGCAGCAAGTGGTCGAAGAAATTGTGCTGTGAATGCAACGAACCCAGCAAGCCGCGTTGCAAAACAGTCAAGATCCGGGAGCCCAGACAATACACACGGTGCTGGTCTGTAACATAGTTTTTTGGACACAAAAAACGCCGAATCGTGAAGAGCTCGAGGCTCTAACAGTAAAGATTCCCTCCCAAAACGGTAAACAGATAGGTCCAGACTCGATGGAGAATCCAAAGCCGTCGGCAGGAAATCGATAGGGTAAGGAAACCGACTGGTGCTACCCACGCATGCCACGACTCGAAGCTCCAAGTGGTAAATTCATCCCTGCAAACTGTAGACCAAGTATGGGCCCTATAGTCTGACAGAGTGTAAAGTCCCGGGGCCTGGGCCTGAGCTCTAGGGGCTATTTCTAGACATCGCTGGTAACTTACTGTTCTTATACTCGACAGCCGGAGGCCTTTGGGGTAAGACCTCGTCAACAAAAGCTCGCAAACGCCTCTGCTTGACGTCTGTACGGCAGTCGTAGAGCATCGATCCTCGTGATGTGGTAGTTCTAGTGTCCCTTTCAAAGTCCGATTTATAAGAGTGCCGTACTATATTGGGGACCCAACAAGGGACCCTGGTTTAGGCTTAGAGAACTGCCCATGTAAGGAAGCGCAGTTTGAGTTGAAGAGTTGCAGGTAGAGGGTCTCTGGATGGGCCTTGTGATTGAAACAACCTATCGTCTCCATTGTAGTTCCCTTGTGGGTTTCATGATGTTCTGCTTAGGGGCCTATCAGGTATCCCCAACAGGGAACTACAAGGGAGACTACAGGAACTGCACATGTATTGATGCCGTGTCTGTTGCAGTTCACTTTAGATCCCCCGCCCCAGGGGCCCGGGAGTTGAGCTCAACCTCACTGTGTTGGTGGCCGCAAAGATGTCAGCACAACACAACCTAACCCGAAATGCGCCGTGTTCCCCTCCATGTCCCTTCCACTCTCTGCACCCGTGGCCTTGGCTTAGACGACGATACCCAAACCCTGGCAGTCCGAATGTCCTATGTACACCATGTGGAACCAGAATACAGCTCCTTCTCATACACTCAAAAGCCTTTCCCAGCAAGACCTCGAAACAAACCCATCAAATTTAAGCCAAGATGAAGCCAGAGCGCAACCCAGGAAATGGGTAATGTAAGGGCCGTAACTAATAATTAGAACACCGCTTTGGGCTCCTGTAATCAGCTTGTATAATTATAAGGAACCCTCAATTAAGGAATAATGTTGGTACATATTTAGGCCCCGAAAATACACCCCTTGATCTCTTTCCCACCACTGCTCAACTGCGCCACGTCCTGAGGTTGATGGCATCCTGCACCGGTGCCCCCATGGGCTGGACCTGCAGTCGATGGAAGGCAGCCCCGCCGACCTGCCAAGGAACCGACCTCAACAGAAGGGATTGAAGTTGAAGGGAATAAGGTGGCCCCTGCCATAAACTGAAGCCCGGAATAAAGCCCCACATCAGAGCCACCACTAGATCATATATAGCTGATGCCGTTAACCGGGCAAAACTTGAAAGGTAGCGTGAGCTCTTGCAGGCGACATCATAGGAATCTTCGTGGCCATCAGCAGCCTTCTTCTTAGTTTTTCGGGTTTAGGGTTTGCGGATTAAGGAGTACGGCTTTGGTTTCAAATTCTAGCTGCTTGATGATGCAGCTCTTGCCTCACTCTCCCACAACTGGCCCGACGACGATGAGTACGTCAGTGGATCCACAAAGCAGATGAAGTTGAATCTGCTACAACCCTCCTGTGTTTACATCCCGTTTAATGCAGCAGGACCTCTGTAGCCCCGGGCTCTACGGATCTAAATAAGGCCAGCAGCCTCGGTGCAAGAGGCCCAGTGGCGAAAATGATAGCTGAGATGCTGCGGTGCGGGCGTGCTTCAGCATCAGACAAACACTCCCGACTCCACCCGGTGCCCTTTTTCCTATTCTTTGGCTTTATTTAGGGATCCCCAAAAAGGAAAATGGCAGAAGGGTACTACTTACGGTAAGTTTGAGAAATAGAACCGACGATGAGAACCGACTTCTTGGTTGACAAGAATGCGAGAACCACAGGAGGAGTTGATGTATTTTTCACTGTTACCGTTTGGAACGGAGGCTTCGGGACCAATTCAACATCGCACAGGAGTTCGAACCCGTGGGCTGCGCGGGTATATTCTGCTGTGATCTTAAACCACAAGCAGAAGGGGCCATAAGGATGTCAGCTGAGGCTGTCATTTTAGGGTTTAGGGTTTAGGGTTTTTTTGCTTCGAGCAAGGATACCGTCTTTAGCGGCCCTCATAACGGCGCAGTTCATTCTTCAAGTCGGGCTTGTGGCCGGTCAGGGGTATGTTAAAGGCTGCGAACACAGCGAGCCAGCAGCAATTCCGAGACCATTGTTAGAATTGCACTTTCACCAACGAAACAGCTCAACCGCAGCTGTAGCTAACCATAGCTTATAAGCTTGAAGGCGAAGGCTTTCCTTCCGGACTCAATAGTTAGTGAACCCGGAAATGAAGCTTCAAAACGGTTCTAAAGCCGGAACCTTACAGATGACTTCACCACAGCCGCTACGTTCACAACTGCAGCTTGCGGCCGTATTCTTTTAGCGTTGAGGATTAAGAGTTGCTACTCCGCCCCACAGTGCCAGATTCCCAGATCCCTGGTAGTCCGCTGGAACCTGCGACGTAGCCAGGAGATATGGCACGTCCAACCTCCAAGCGTGTGCCTGCGGAAGCGCAAGCGGCCGGGTAGCCTAACCAAAGGCACCGTGAAGCCACACGAATAGGTCGGCTAAATTTAGTTCAAGCTGTACATCGCTACACTTGTTGCCTATTACTGTCACTGCAACCACTACCACACCACTATCGCTATAGTATAATAGTTTGTACATAGATAAACATTAAAGTAGCCACTTCTGATGCAAAGTTACGGCTTTCCAGGACATTGGTTGAATGCTTGGCAGGAGCAAGATCCGACAGGAACTGCCGGCAAGTTAGAACATCAGTGCTCCCATGTCCCCAACTTAGAGCATCCCGTCATCTGTCATCCCAAACCCATATTCCAACTTGTTGCACTTAGCACCGACATGGACTAGGATATACCCCTTTTTACACAGGCTTGATGGGAGCTCGCCCGGCCAGTTGCCCTCGCAGAATATACCCCCAAACCCTAAACTCTGCGTGGGGCAAGAACTGAGCCTCAAAACCCTGTGCCCTGTGCAGTTCTGAGGCTCCAGCACTGCGGATCAGAGTAGAACCTTACCAGCTGTATATATATATATATGTATGTATGTATATATATATATATATGTACTTAACATGTATACATACATATATATATATATAGATATGTATGTATGTACGTATGTATGTATGTATGTATGTATGTATGTATGTATATATATATATATATGAATGTATGCATAGGGTTTACACATATGTATATACAGAGTACAATATACACATACTTCTGAGCGTATGTTTTCATCTATTCTTTCCGAATGATTATGTCGTTGCACCTGTACTTCGTGGTTTCCCACACAGTGCAGGGACGTCGGTCCTTACTTACTGTGCAACGTAACAGGACCGTGGATGGCCTGGGGTTTTATTTTGTGGCTCAGGGTCGTGAGCTGTGGTTGGGGTGAAAGAGCCCAAATGCCCACACTGCGGCGTTTACGCGTCTAGTTGCAGCTCTTTGCTCTGATTTCTTGCTGCGAAGCTCCGAGTTTGCACTATTTTGGCCTCGGCAAGTGAACGATTTTTGACTACCGCCCTCCAATATGTGTTCGCCAGTCTGTGTTGATAGAGGCATGGAAGAAAAGGCTGCAAGCACGTGCGACTATTTTCGAAAGCAAGTCGGAAGTCGGGACGGCCAAATCCGTCAGCTCGTTTCCCAATAGTCGCGGTGTTGAGGTCCTGGCCCATGTGAAGCATCACCACTACAAGCCATAAAACCCAATCGCCGCTACATTCCCGATATCCAATGTCATGCAAGAACTTTTGACTTTTCTTGTCATACACCCCAACATGTTTGTGATAAGATAAGCTTGACCTCCTGTCGAAGCCTCCCGGGCTACGACGGAGACCTCCTTCCAAAAATGAAATCGGATGGTACTAAAATTCAAAAATCAATTCAAAAATCTACACATTCGAGTCTCAAACCCTGCAACCCCAACACTCGGCCCTCAACAAGAAACCCTGGGCCCTACAGAAACTACATCACAACACGCACGGAGTCCTTTTCGACCCGAGCTCTTGTAGTATGGCGAGAAGCAGCGCTTTCCAGCAAGAGCCTTGCAAAGCCTGGGCTGGACGAAGCGTCCCAGGGTTTTTGGGTTTCAGTATTTTTTTCCGGTTGCATCAATCCTGTTGGGAAACCCTCAGGTTGCTGCCTTTTGGGCTCCAGGGTTGGGAGGGCGCCCGTAGACGGGAAGGTCGGCACTTACACTCGGGCACGCCAGTCGAGGTTCTTGGTGCGACGTCGGTTGGGGGATGTTGGAGGTGAGATGATGTACATCCCGAGCTGTTGCAGTTGGAAACGGTTTGACCAAGTAAAGATTCGGCCCCAACCCCAAACAAATCAGAGGTGCTGAGTAGTCGATATGTTTTCGGGTGCAGATGATGCTAAGCGTATTAGTATATCCTTTACGAGCGCACTGCTCAGGTACATGTGGGACTATGGCGCACATTTCCCTGCCAATATGTACATGTGGACAGCACTACTGCTGTACACATACAGCGAAAAAGACTTGCCAAGTTGGCCCAGCTGCTCTCTGTTGGAGCTTTCCAAGGATTTGCCGAGCAATCCTCTCTCCACCTGCACCGAGGCAGGGTACCGTGAGCGCCATATTACCAACAATGATCCTACTGCGAATGAGTTTAAAGCAACAGTAAAATGCCAGCATAAGGCTCAGAATAAGTATGTTGTTGGGTTGTTGGGTTTTGGGTTTGGGTGCTTTCTATGTTTAATTGATGCCAAAATCGAAGATTAAACTATGGCCCCTAGTGTGGGCCCTCAACCCTGGGATCCTTATACACCTACTAGAAACACCATATGCCGGCATCTGGGTCCCTAGAAGGGTCCATATTAGGGGCCATACTTCGAACCTTAGACAACATGTTATCCCATACTTCGGCAGAACGGTGTGAGCACTATGGGACTTAGGAGTCTGTTGTATTCACGATGCTTTGGGTTTACGGCGCTAGAAGCCGCTAGAAGCTAGAATCACGGAGTTTGACTGGGTTCTTTGACTCGGGAGTCTGGCTGAAGCTTCGCCACGCACAGCAGGCTGTATCCTGAAGGGTGATATTTACGGTTTAGGGTTGTTTAGGGTTTAGGGTTTAATATCGCATAAGGCTTCAAGCTCCTGACTTGGTTTCATCTTTGTCAACAACTCGTTTCCCCACATAGCTAAAAGCCACTTCCCCCCCCTGTCACTTTGGGGGGGGGGGGGGGGGATCTAGCTCCCCCTAATTCAAAGTAAGTGTTCAACGACGGGGATGATTTTAGGGGTGGGGGCTTTCCTGAAAATCTTTGGAAAATAGCGTCAATACCTATCTTGTTCACCTATTCACGAGCATGGCTCCGAACTGGTGAACTCCATATACCTACCTTAGCAGCCGTTCGGGACGCAACGCGGGACGCGCGTGCGGAACGCAGCCCCGGAACGCATGTCCATACCCTCCCCGGAACGCAACTAGACGAATGTACTGTAACCACTGTAGCATGCACCAGATTGCATTTGGAGCTGCCCGGAAAATGCATTTTGGTCCTCTGGCAAAACTTCACACCGGGATTGGGAAGAATGTGCAATAACTACTGTATCCAGCAGCCAGACGAA